CAAATGTTGAAAAGCATTGACCTGAAAGAAGAGAAGATTTAGAAAAATTTTGTCTGTTTCTTCAAATATTTATTTGTTAACTTTTTCATTCTGGGGTATGTGTGTATAATGTATGTGTGAGTGTATGTCTGTCTGTGTGTTTATATGTTGTCCAAACTTACAGATTATAGAAAGGTATCCATGAAGAAAAATGTTTTTTCATTTATTTATAAAAATATTTCAGATTATGTCATGTCAAAGTAAATGACTGTAGAGACTGTCTATTATAGAGGAAGTAATAATGAAGTCATTCTCCTGCAGGTAAAGGTAAAAAATAATAGTATTTTACATCCTACCAAGCAACTGTTGAGAAATGCAATTACTGTTCAAACTTATTTAAATATTGTGAGCTGTAAAATATACATCCATTGTAATAAACTTGCATTTGATTTTTGCAGATAAGTAAGGTCATAAGTGAAGGTGTAAGCCATGTTAAGAGGACGATAAGTCAGATTTAAATATCTTTTATACATTTCTTCCTCTGAAAATGCATTTTATTCATGATAACTAAAGAGAACAAATAATAGAGAGCTGAGAAAATGGCTTTATAAAATATGTTTGGTTAGTGTTGACCACATATTCTGTCTGGGTACTGAAGAAGAAGGAATGTAGTCAAATATGTCACTCTAGATGGTTTCTTTCCCCAAATATTGCACTTCCATCTTGTTCCCACTTACTCTAATAGGCCTGTGGGGTGAAATAAGCATGCTGGTAAATTTGGAGTTACTATAGTAGAGGAATACTCTTAAACTGGAATAAACGGACTTTCTCTCTTTTTCACTACTTTTCTTTTACTATGGGCGTCACACTTCATTGGTCCAGCCTACGGGTAATGTGTCATCATGATGAATGCCACCCAAGTCTATGAGACAATAGTCTAGTGAAATGGGGATTCCATTATGAGCTGTAGTTCATTTCTGATTATAACACAAATTGGTTGAATCACCTTGAGTAAACTGGGCCATATGAGCATATTGGATCTTTCGGCTGCATCTTTGCTTGCCTCATGTATAATGAATGTATTGCATATGGTAACCTTTCAATATGAATAATCAAATTTATTAAAAAGATAGTAACAATACTGTAGTATTTTGTAACTAATATTGTTGATTTACTAAACTCATCTCAATAGCTAGTTTCTTTATCGAGACTATGGAATGTTTTTCTATCTGTACATTTTTCTTTAAAATATTGAAAAATTATTTTTCTTCATTAAGGTATAATTGACAAATAAAAGTATAAGATGTTTAAAGTATATACTGTGATAAGTTGATGTATGTACACATTGTGAAAGGATTCCCCCCATTGAGTTAATTAACATATCCATCATCTCGCATATTTATGATAACAGTAGAAAGAGGAAATCTTTGATAAGACAATGTGCCATTCTTCTTCAGAAACTCTAACTAAACTAAATAAACTGTAAAAGGGAAAAATTGATAATTTCCAAAGAAGAAAAGAGAATAATGTGAGAGATGTTAGAAACTTATAGAAAGCCTAAAACTTAGAGCTGGATTTAGTTGCAAGGCAATGATGCACAATACTGTATGACATCACTTATATGTGCAATCTAAAAAACCCAATTTGTAGAAATACAAAGTAGAATGGTGATTAATGTGGGTTGGGGAGTGGGAGAAATGGGGAGATGTTGGTTAAAGAATAAAAACTTCCAGTTAGAAGATGAATAAATTCTGGGGATCTAGTGCACAGCACTGTGATTACAGTTAACAATACTGTATGATATACTTGAAACCTCCTAAGAGTAAATCGTAAATGTTCTCTCCACAGAAAAGAAAAGGTAGTTATATGACATGATGAAAGTACTAGCTAACACTACAGTGGTAATCATATTGCAACGTACAAAGGTATCAAATCAATACACTGTACACCTTAAGCTTATACCATATTGTATATCAATTATATCTCAATAAAGCAGGATGGGGGGCAACAAAAAGAAAAAACCCTTCTGATTTTCAAAGCTCGACAGAATAAAAAATAAATGCTTTCAATGAAATGGGTTTACAACAGATTATAGATGACATACAAAAAGCACCAAGCACAACGCATGATAAATGGCCCTCATTAAATGGTACTGATCATTAACCCTAGATATAACACTAAAGGTAAGAACTTACATAATTACAAACTCCGTGGTACAGTCTGTAAAAGGCTGGTAATTTAATTATGCCAATATATCCTGTAAGTTTCTGAAAACAAATGTGTTAGATGATTACGTATGAGCCTTTGTATACTGAATATTTATTGTTTTTGTCATGCACATTCATTCTCCCTTCTTTTGGCAGTGGGTGTTTAGGTGGGTCTGAGCCCACCTTTGTCTTCAAGGTATCATATAATTCAGTCCAGGGCAATCAAAGCATCACATTCTCTGTCCATAGTTATTACTCTCAAGAGAGACACATGGCCCAATCAAAGCTTATTCTTGTCTGTATGTACAAGGGTTTTTCAAGAGAGAGACATTCTTTTTCCTACAGTCTTAAACTTCTAAATGTAGATACTGTCCGGCAGGCAACTATCTCACTTTCATGGGGAGGCAGAGAACAAAGCCAACATGTCTGAGTATCTGAATCCAATATGTGAAAAATAAATCCTTCTCCTTTTTATTTGCTTAAGCTAACCATCCTCTCTGCTCCCCTAAATCTTTTCTTTTTCTTTCTCAATGTCTGGTTCAGATTTGAACAACTCTCTTTACCCAACCTCTTTAAAAAAATTTTTTAACATCTTTTTTGGAGTATAATTGCTTTACAATGGTGTGTTAGTAGTTTCTGCTTTATAACAAAGTGAATCACCTTTACATATAAATATATCCCCATATCTCCTCCTTCTTGCATCTTGTAGAATATATTAACATTAATGTATAGCTCCTTCACCCCTCCAAAATTCTGTAAAAACATTGATTTTTGTGGCATGGAAGTAGTAATGGGAAACATTTTTAAACTGGTTTGCAAGTATAGGACGTTACAGAATTGAAAATAGCTGCTTTAAGTTAAAAATTAATGTCTTTAATGTTTGCAAAGGTAGGGAAGATACTCTTGGTGATGTTTTAAGACCAAACATTAAAAAAGAGAAGATCCCGGACTTCCCCGGTGGCGCAGTGGTTGAGAACCCACCTGCCAATGCAGGGGACACAGGTTTAGGCCCTGGTCTAGGAAGATCCCATATGCCACGGAGCAAGCAAGCCCATGTGCCACAACTACTGAGCCTGCACTCTAGCGCGTGTGAGCCACAACTACCCAGCCCACACACCTAGAGTCTGTGCTCTGCCACAAGAGAAGCCACCGCAATGAGAAGCCCTCGCACCACAAAGAACAGCCCCCACTTGCCGCAACGAGAGAGAGGCCGTGTGTAGCAACGAAGACCAACACAGCCAAAAATAAATAAATAAAAAAAAATTCTTTTAAAAAAAGGAGAAGATCCCTTCTCTGCAAAAAGAGAATATCTCTCCCTTTTCTGCCATGTGTCAAATATTTTAATTTTTTAATTTTTTTTTTTTTTGCCGTATGCGGGCCTCTCACCACTGTGGCCCCTCCCGCCGCGGAGCAGAGGCTCCGGACGCGCAGGCCCAGCGTCCACAGCCCACGGGCCCAGCCGCTCCGCTGCATGCGGGACCCTCCCGGACCGGGGCAGGAACCCATGTCCCCTGCATCGGCAGGGGGGGGGGCCCCCCATGCGCCACCAGGGCAGCCCAGCTTTTTCTTCCCTGCATCGGCAGGCGGACTCCCAACCACTGCGCCACCAGGGCAGCCCAGCTTTTTCTTATTTTAACATCCTTACTGGAGTATAATTGCTTTACAATGTTGTGTTAGTTTCTGGTATATAACAAAGTGAATCAGCTATATGCATATGTAAATCCCCACATCCCCTCCCTCTTGCGTCTCCCTCCCACCCTCCCTATTCCACCACTCTAGGTGGTCACAAAGCACCGAGCTGATCTTGCTGTGCTGTGCTGCTACTTCCCACTAGCTAGCTATTTTACATTTGGTAGTGTATATATGTCAGTGCTCCTCTCTCAATTCAGCCCAGCTTACCCTCCTCCCTCCCCGAGTCCTCAAGTCCATTCTCTACATTTGTGCCTTTATTCCTGTCCAGCCCTTGGTTCTTCAGAACCATTTTTGTTTTTTACATTCCATACTGTGTAAAAATACAGTATTTGTTTTTCTCTTTCTGACTTACTTCACTCTGTATGACAGTCTCTAGGTCCATCCACCTCACTACAAATAACTCAACTTCATTCCTTTTTATGGCTGAGTAATATTCCATTGTATATATGTGCCATATCTTCTTTATCCATTCATCTGTTGATGGACACTTAGGTTGCTTCCATGTCCTGGCTACTGTAAAGAGAGCTGCAATGAACACTGTGGTACATATACCTCTTCTTCAACTATGGTTTTCTCAGGGTATATGCCCAGTACTGGGATTGCTGGGTTGTATGGTAGTTAAATTTTTAGTTCTTCAAGGAACCTCCATACTGTTCTCCATAGTGGCTGTATCAACTTACATTCCCACCAACAGTGCAAGGGGGTTCCCTTTTCTCCACACCCTCTCCAGGATTCATTGCTTGTAGACTTTTTGATGATGGCCATTCTGACCAGTGTGAGGTGACACCACATTGTAGCTTTGATTTGCATTTCTCTAATGATTAGTGATGTTGAGCATCCTTTCATGTGTTTTTTGGCAATCTGTATGTCTTCTTTGGAGAAATGTCTATTTAGGTCTTCTGCCCGTTTTTGGATTGGGATGTTTGTTTTTTATTTTTATTTTTTATTTTTTTAAATAGCAAGATGGTAAATTTTAATCCAAATGTTATCAATAATCACTTTAAATGTGAATCATCTAAACACACTGGTCAAAAGAGATTAACAGATTAGATTTGAAAAGCAAGATCTAATATAAGCTGTGTACGAATTAACAAAGCATTAACTATTTTAGAAGACACTTACAGGCAATTTCTTTCCATTAAACATAACCTTGACTCCTTTGCATGAACCAGCCAAATCGTAAGCTCTTCTGGTCATGAGAGCCACAATGTCCTTGTCAAGTTTCTCCATCTTAAACTTGGACAGATCTGGTTGGAATGTTATGCATGTGTAATCTTCACCATCAAAATGTTTAATTTTGGCTTCAGAAGTCTTCATCATATTATTCATCCATATCTGCTTAAAACTATGTTTGTATTCTTTGCAAGCAGTTTCTACTGTAAACTTTGTACTGAAAATATTACAAAGTTTTGCACCATAACCATTGCGACCACCTGTTACTTTTTTCTCATCATCGTCATAGTTACTGGATGTTAAAAGCTGTCCAAAAATTAATGCAGGAACATAAACTTTCTCTACTTTGTGTTCTACTACCGGAATGCCTTTCCCGTTATTCCAGATGCTTATAATGTTAGATTCAGGATCAATAGAAACTTTAATACAGGTCATGTTCTTATCCCTCTGTTTATTGTCAGCTGCATTAACCAAAATTTCATCAAAGATCTTGTATAAACCCGGCACAAAGGTAACCTCTCTGCAATTCATTCCTATATCTTCATCATACACCCACATGAGCTGTGTCAATGGTTCCACCGACCCAATGTACGTATCAGGACGAAGGAGAATATGTTCAAGCTGTGTCTTTTTCTGATACACTCTCTCGACAGACAACTTCTTTGAAGAATCATTTTTGTTTGCAGTTTCTGACTCTTCTTTTTTTGCAGCATTGTTCTTGCGTTCGAGTCTGCCACTCCTGCCCTTCAGACGCCTCCTTGCATCTTGTTCGCGTCCTCCTCCAGCGCCCTCTGACTTGGGATGTTTGTTTTTTAGATATTGAGCTGCATGAGCTACTTGTATATTTTAGAGATTAATCCTTTGTCTGTTACTTAGTTTGCAAATATTTTCTCCCATTATGCAGGTTTTCTTTTTGTCTTGTTTACAGTTTCCTTTGCTGTGCAAAAGCTTTTAAGTTTCATAAGGTCCCATTGGCTTCTTTTTGTTTTTATTTGAATTTCTCTAGGAGGTGGGTCAAAAAGGATCTTGCTGTGAGTATATCAAAGAGTGTTCTGCCTATATTTTCCTATAAGAGTTTTATAGTGTCTGACCTTACATTTAGGTCTCTAATCCATTTTGAGTTTATTTTTGTGTATGGTGTTAGGGAATGTTCTAATTTCATTCTTTCACATGTAGCTGTCCAGTTTTCCCAGCACCACTTATTGAAGAGGCTGTCTTTTCTCCATTGTGCATTCTTGCCTCGTTTATCAAAGATTAGGTACCCATATGTGCATGGGTTTATCTCTGGACTATCTATCCTGGTCCATTGATCTATATTTCTGTTTTTGTGCCAGTACCATACTGTCTTGACGACTGTAACTTTGTAGTATAGTCTGAAGTCAGGGAGCCTGATTCCTCCAGCACCGTGTTTCTTTCTCAAGATTGCTTTGGCTATTCAGTCTCTTTTGTGTTTCCATACAAATTGTGTTCTAGTTCTGTGAAAAATGCCATTGATACTTTGATAGGGACTGCATTGAATCTGTAGATTGCTTTGGGTAGTAATAATCATTTTCATAATGTTGATTCTTCCAATCCAAGAATATGGTATACCTCTCCATCTGTTTGTATCATCTTTCTTTCATCAGTGTCTTATAGTTTTCTGCATACAGGTCTTTTTGCCCCCTTAGGTAGATTTTTTCCTAGATTTTTTCTTCTTTTTGTTGCATTAGTAAATGGGAGTGTTTCCTTGATTTCTCTTTCAGATTTTTCATCATTAGTATTAGGAATGCAAGAGATTTCTGTGCATTAATTTTGTATCCTTCTACTTTACCAAATTCATTGATTAGCTCTAGTAGATTCCTGGTAGCATCTTTAGGATTCTCTATGTATAGTATCATGTCATCCGCAAACAGTGACAGTTTTACTTCTTCTTTTCCAATTTGGATACCTTTTATTTTTTTTCTTCTCTGATTGCTGTGGCTAAAACTTACAAAACTATGTTGAATAATAGTGGTGAGAGTGGGCAACCTTGTCTTATTCTGTGTCTTACTGGAAATGCTTTCAGTTTTTCACCATGCAGAATGATGTTGGCTGTGGGTTTCTCATATATGGCCTTTATTATGTTGAGGTAAGTTCCCTCTACGTCTACATTCTGGAGGGTTTTTATCATAAATGGTGTTGAATTTTGTCAAAAGCTTTTTTGGCATCTATTGAGATGATCATATGGTTTTTATTCTTCAATTTGTTAATATGGTGTATCACATTGATTGATTTGCATATATTGAAGAATCCTTGAATCCCTGGGATAAATCCCACTTGATCATGGTGTATGATCAAGTGAGTTGTTGGATTAATGTGTTTAATGTGTTGTTGGATTCTGTTTGCAAGCATTTTGTTGAGGAGTTTTGCATCTGTATTCATCAGTGATACAAGTCTCTAATTTTCTTTTTTTGTAGTATCTTTGGTTTTGGTATCAGGGTGATGGCGCCCTTGTAGAATGAGTTTGGGGCTGTTCCTTCCTCTGCAGTTTTTTGAAAGAGTTTGAGAAGGATGGGTGTTAGCTCTTTTTGAAATGTTTGATAGAATCCACCTGTGAATCCATTTGGTCCTGGACTTTTGTTTGTGGAAGATTTTTAATCACAGTTTCAATTTCATTACTTGTGATTGGTCTATTCATATTGTCTATTTCTTCCTTGTTCAGTTTTGGAAGATTATACCTTTCTAAGAATTTGTCCATTTCTTCCAGCTTGTCCATTTTATTGGCATAGAGTTTCTTGTAGTAATCTCACATGATCCTTTGTATTTCTGCAGTGTCAGTTGTTACTTCTCCTTTTTCATTTCTAACTCTATTGAGTTGAGTCTTCTCCCTTTTTTTCTTTATGAGTCTGGCTAACGGTTTATCAACTTTGTTTACCTTCTCAAAGAACCAGCTTTTAGTTTTATTGATCTTTGCTATTGTTTCCTTCATTTCTCTTCCATTTATTTCTGATCTGATCTTTATAATTTCTTTCCTTCTGCTAACTTTGGGATTTTTCGTTCGTCTTTCTCTAATTGCTTTGGTGTAAGGTTCAGTTGTTTATTTGGGATGTTTCTTGTTTCCTGTGGTTGGATTGTATTGCTATAAACTTCCCTCTTAGAACTGATTTTGCTACATCCCATAGGTTTTGGGTCATCATGTTTTCATTGTCATTTGTTTCTAGATATTTTTTGATTTCCTCTTTGATTTCTTCAGTGATATCTTGGTTATTTAATACTGTATTCTTTATCCTCCTTGTGTTTGTATTTTTTACAGATTATTTTCATGTAATTGATATCTAGTCTCATAGTATTCTGGTTGGAAAAGATGATACAATTTCAATTTTCTTAAATTTACCAACACTTGATTTATGACTCAAGATATGACCTATCCTGGAGAATTCTCCATGAGCATTTGAGAAAAAAGTGTATTCTGTTGTTTTTGGATGGATTGTCCTGGAAATATCAATTAAGTCCATCTTTTTTAATGTATCATTTAAAGCTTGTGTTTCCTTATTTATTTTCATTTTGGATGATCCGTCCATTGGTGAAAGTGGGGTGTTAAAGTCCCCTACTATGATTGTGTTACTGTCTATTTCCCCTTTTATGGCTGTTAGCATTTGCCTTATGTACTGAGGTGCTCCTATATTCGGTGCATAAATATTTACAATTGTTATATCTCCTTCTTGGATTGATCCCTTGATCATTATGTAATGTCCTTCTTTGTCTCTGTAGTAGTCTTTATTTTAAATTCTATTTTGTCTGATATGAGAATGGCTACTCCAGCTTTCTTTTGATTTCTATTTGCATGGAATATCTTTTTCTCCATCCCCTCACTTTCAGTCTGTATGTGTCCCTAGGTCTGAAGTAGGTCTCTTGTAGACAGCATATATACAGTTCTTGTTTTTGTATCCATTCAACCAGTCTGTCTTTTGGTTGGAGCATTTACTCCACTTACAGTTAAGGTAATTATGAATATATATGTTCCTGTTACCATTTTCTTAAGTGTTTTGGGTTTGTTATTGTACGTCTTTTCCTTCTCTTGTGTTTCCTGCCTACAGAAATTCCTTTAGCATTTGTTGTAAAGCTGATTTGGTGGTGCTGAATTCTCTTAGCTTTTGCTTGTCTGTAAAGGTTTTAATTTCTCCATCGAATCTGAATGAGATCCTTGCTGGGTAGAGTAATCTTGGTTGTAGGTTTTTCCCTTTCATCACTTTAAATATGTCCTGCCACTCCCTTCTGGCTTGCAAAGTTTCTGCTGAAAGATCAGCTGTTAACCTTGGGGATATTCCCTTGTATGTTATGTGTTGCTTTTCCCTTCCTGCATTTAATATTTTTCCTTGTATTTAATTTTTCATAGTTTGATTTATATGTGTCTTGGCATGTTTCACCTTGGATTTATCCTGTATGGGAAACTCTATGCTTCCTGGACTTGATTGACTATTTCCTTTCCCATATTAGGGAAGTTTTCAACTATAATCTCTTCAACTATTTTCTCAGTCCCTTTCTTTTCCTCTTCTTTTTCTGGGACCCCTATAATTCGAATGTTGGTGCATTTAATGTTGTCCCAAAGGTCTCTGAGACTGTGCTCAATTCTTTTCATTCTTTTTTCTTTATTCTGCTCTGCGGTAGTTATTTCCACTATTTTATCTTCCAGGTCACTTATCTGTTCTTCTGCCTCAGTTATTCTGCTATTGATCCCTTCTAGAGTATTTTTAATTTCATTTATTGTGTTATCACTGTTTGTTTGCTCTTTAGTTCTTCTAGGTCCTTGTTAAACGTTTCTTGTATTTTCTCCATTCTATTTCCAAGGTTTTGGATCATCTTTACTATCATTACTCTGAATTCTTTTTCAGGTGGACTGCCTATTTCCTCTTCATTTGTTTGGTCTGGTGGGTTTTTACCTTCCTCCTTCATCAGCTGTGTATTTTTCTGTCTTCTTGTTTTGCATAACTTACTGTATTTGGGGTCTCCTTTGCGCAGGCTTCAGGTTCATAGTTCCCGTTGTTTTTGCTGTCTGCCCCCAGAGGGTAAGGTTGGTTCAATGGGTTGTGTAGGCTTCCTGGTGGAGGGTACTAGTGCCTGTGTTGTAGTGGATGAGGCTGGATCTTGTCTTTCTGTTGGGCAGGACCACGTCCAGTGGTGTGTTTTGGGGTGTCTGTGACCTTATTATGATTTTAGGCAGCCTCTCTGCTAATGGGTGGGGTTGTGTTCCTGTCTTGCTAGTTGTTTGGCATGGTGTGTCCAGCACTGTAGCTTGCTGGTCGTTGAATGTAGCTGGGTCTTAGCCTTCAGATGGCGATCTCTGGGAGATCTTTCGCTGTATGATATTATGTAGGTCCGGGAGGTGTCTGCTGGACCAATGTCCTGAACTCAGCTCTCCCACCTAAGAGGCTCAGGCCTGTCAGCTGGCCAGAGCAGCAAGACTCTGTCAGCCATATGGCTCAGAAGAAAAGGTAGAAAGAAAAGAAAGAAAGAAAGAAAGAAAGAATAAAATAAAATATAATAAAGTTATTAATATAAAAAATAAGAAAAAAATTAAAAGGTATTTAAAAAAAGAAAGACGAGAGCAACCAAACCAATAAACAAATCCACCAATGATAACAAGTACTGAAAACTATACTAATAAAAAAAAAAGAGAGACAGACTGAACCCTAGGGTAAACGTTAAAAGCAAAGCTATACAGACAAAATCACACCAAGAAGCACACACATACACACTCACAAAAAGAGAAAAAGGAAAATAATAGATACATAAAAATAAAAGGGAAGAGAGCAACCAAATCAATAAACAAATCTACC